TTCTATACCCTGAACTTTAGGCTTAACCTTTCTGAAAATAGACCTCTGGTATTTCTCTAACAACTTGCCAGAATAAGTGGGAAATTCTTTTTCCCGAGGTTTCCTATCTAGTATGAAATCGGGAAGCCTCTCAAATTATTGTTTAAAAACACACACAAAAGGTTCAAATACATACTGTAATCACTAAAACTAACTTCACCATTCTGAGCACGCCAAGGATGACTGGCATTTAGAAGAAGCAGTGCCTGGGACCTCAGTACCATGAATTTAAGAAGGTGTCTATTGTTTCCATCCTGTTGCTCCGAAATAGATGTGCAAACTCACACAAATGAATACAGATTTGTTGAAAAAGCCATCCTAGTAAAAAAGACATTACTCTGAAAAATATTATTAAAAGTTCAATTATTCTATGTGCAGATTTACATTTCTGATGAGATGAATAATTCTGATAGACATCAGATGCTCCTTGGCATCTGACACGTCACACAACATTCCCCTTCAAGCTATGCCTAGTGGATTCAACTTTGATTTTCACACCTCCTACATCTATGTTTCTTCTGATCAACACCACTTGGCTGGTAAAGTCCCACGTAAATGTTATCAATCATCTCCAGCGTGCTTACAAAACAGGTCACTATTTCAGATATTGAAACGCAAGTAATGGGATGCTCATCTTTCTTTATCTCATCAGGCCTCAAAGTTAATACCTATGTAGATCAAACAATGCCATGTCTTTGATTTTCATGTCAGAAGATGCCAGACCATCACTTGGAAAGTAACAGATTCTAGAAGTTAATGTTACTTGTGATACTGATGGCTCTGCCAGAGTTATGACTCCCAACTGCTAAAACTGAATCCAATAAACAAAGTCCTCTTCTAAGATAAGATAACCACTAACTCTACTGCTACTGCCCTGTAAGAATGGAATAATCAAACATGCAACACCCACCTTCTGGATGAACAGCCAACAGCCTATGGAACTCCTACACAAACGTCTCTGAAAATGTGGAAAATGGCATATTCTGTGTCCCAGCTTGCATGATAATATCTGTGTTTCTTTCGTGCCATGAACTTGCTATGTCTCTTATTTGGTCCTGACAGCTGTTCCTTAAACACCCAATGGACAATTAAGCAGACTGTTGGGCAGACCATTGGAGGGATGGATGCACGGACAGAAGTACATATATACAAATATACATTTGTATATACAGATATCCTATTCCAAACATTGTTTGGTCTCCCTATACTAGAGGGTACTATTTTAGCAAAGAAAACAAAATCTTTTGTTTTGTTTTTTTCTCCTTCACAATCTGTTATAGCTATCCAACATGGATCTTTGTCCCAAGTCTGCCACACAAAACCTAACTTAGATCATTCCTAATTCTTCATAGATTTGAAAGACCAAAATACAATTATACAGACTTGTGTCCATGAACAAAGACAAAACACTGACCTTACAAAGGCTACATTTTCACCATATGGGAGAATATTATGGATAATATCAAAAACATTATAGAGGTGCAGGATTAATCTATCACTGAAGGCATAGTATTGAAACACAGTAACTACTTCCTCCTGCAGTCAGGAAACTGCTTCAGCACAATGTTCCTGCAAGCTCTGAGGCAGAGAACTACCTGATGTATCCTCGCCCCACGCACTGACACATGATCCTTTTTATCAACATTAGATAATATTCATGCAATTTATCACTAGGATTTTCCATGGATCTCAACTCTGGAATTAATAGTCAGCTTTTGAGATCTAAGTAACCCATCATCCTCCTTGATTTCATAATACTTGGCTGTGGACTGCTGAGCTGCAGTAGAAATGACACATCCACCAACTTCCAAAGCACAATAGCAAAGATGGCAGGACAGAAAAACAATGGACAGATTTTAAAGGAGGTCTCCTCTGAGACGACACTGGTTATATCTAGGACAGTCACCAAGGCAAAGGGCGTTTGAATTATGAGCAGATCCAATATTTTCCCTCTAATGAATATTTTTTACTTAGCAGATGTCTCCAGGCCCTTAAAATCCACAAAACCTTCCTATTTCATATACTACAACTTAGGTGCACTTACAGGGAAAAAAATAATAATAATAAAAAAGGGGGGGGGGACATAAAGCTGATGCTTGGGAAATTCAGTTTTGCTACACAGTTCTACAAAAAAAAATATATATTTCCGTATGGGTGCAATGGTAATAGATTACCATTAATTCACAGATTCGACTACATGCATTTAGTTGGCTCCGTACAGCAAGCAGAAAAGTTGGTTGCTTTCAAAAGTGAAATCATATTAGGATAAAATGAATGCTCACTTAAACTACAGATTTTATTTACTGTATCTGTTTACACTGTTTTGCTGAGGTGAAATGTTCTTGTTCATTTATTTCTAGATATTTAAATATACTATGTCTTCGGAGTGAACACACAAAGAGCTTTGAAAGCAGCACTGTCATCTAGTCTAGGCAAAGAACTACCTGGAACCTACTCAGGTTTGCTCTAAATACAAGACTCCTGTCTCTCCCTGGTGTTTTTCATCTTTGAGTCAATACTGGAGAAGCTTCAGAAAAAGACAGTGAAATTCCTGTCTAAATCCCAAAAGTACTTTACTTGCTGGAGCTGTTCACGCTTAAAGTGGTTAACAAAAATCCTACTGTTGGCAATGTTCTCACTGGGGTTTTCACTGCTCCAAAGAAAGGTTAGACAAGTTATAAAAACACCTAGGGTGGTATACAAATATTAGAAGATTATAAAAAGTAATGCCAGTGTTCCTACTTCTCTAAAAGCACTACCTGCTTTTAAATACAGGCAACACACGATTAACAAATCTTACTTGACACTGAATGCTCAAAATTTAAAATCATGTTTCTTTAAAACTAATAGCAAATTCTTTTAGTAAAAGGCATATATTCACAAAATCACAGAATGGTTGAAGTTGGAAGGGACCTCTAGAGATCATCTAGTCCAACCTCCTTGCTCCAGCAGGGACACCTAGAGCACGTGGCACAGGGTGGCATCCAGGCAGGTCTGGAAGATCTCCAGAGAAGGAGACTTCACAGCCTCTCAGGGCAGCCTGTTCCAGGGCTCTGTCACCCTCAAAGGAAAGAAGTTTTTCCTCACATGAAGGTGGAACTTCCTGTGTTTCAACTTACACTCATTACCTCTCATCCTGGCACCGGCCACCATGGAGAAGAGCTTGGCCGCATTTTCCCTACCCTCAAGTACTTGAACATGTCGATCAAATCTGCTCTCAGCCTTCTCTTCGCCAGACTAAACAGGCCCACCTCGCTTAGTTTTTCCTCATAACTTTCCTCATTATTCCTCATTTCCTCACTAGTCTTTCCTCATCAGTATTCATCAGGTTGCAAGTACCAGGCTACTCTGTCCCTTTCTCTTAACCACCTAATCTGTTTTATAACTGAGTTGAAGGTTGATTCTTCACCACAACTGATCACAGGACCTCTTCAATACGATACAGTTACTTTTATTTTTGTTAGGCATATAGCCATTAACCTGAAAGGGGTGCAAGTCAGATACATGTATTTCTGCTCACTGTAAAAGAACAGTTAATTCTGAGTCATCCCATCTCTTTTCTAAAAAAAGAGTTTGAATTTGTATTTTGTCTCAAAGTATATAGCACCCACCCATCACAACAAAGGTGTTTTCAGATGTCTTTGTCTAAAGCCTTTGCTTACTAATTGCTTCAATTATTAATAGAGAGGTATTTTTTATGCAAAACTTGAAATCTCTCTTTAAAGCAATTATACTGAATAACAGACATTTTCATAATTGCCTTGGATTATTCAATATTAACAAAATACCTAGTCATTACACAGAATACCATAACTAGGGTTGGGGGAAAAAAAGCAAAAAAGCAAAGCAAAAAAGCAAAGCAAAATAAAAGGTTCAGTTCAGTGCAGGCTGCTATGGGAGTCTAAGGTAATCACTGCACACCCAGTCTGAATAATCTTATCAAGCAATTGTTCATAACTACTGTATAGAACTAGAGTATGAATTATAAGCTACTTTTTCAATGCTTCCTCCTGAACAACCAAGCCTATTTCAATGTATATCTACATGTTAAACTTTGTAACTGCAAACAGTAGCAACTATTCGGCAACCTTTGGAATCTACATTTATTAAAACACTTAAAAAATGTTTGTAGTAAATTTGACATCAGTACCACAACCCATTAGCTGCACACATGGAGGGTGTTCTTATGTCAATACGAATATTGTCAGGAAGGAATTCCCAAACTAGCTCTGGAAGCAAGACTGCCTGACACAAGAGAGCAAGGACGCTCATTATCTTGATGAGGATTAAGGGCTAATCAGTACAAAGTTTCACTAAGGTTGGCATATGTACATGGCTACTATGCTACACGGCTGGAAGCTAAGCTGTTATCCATTTAAAGAACTGTATAGTGCTACAGAAATAAATAACTTGTGTGAAGATAGGTTACTTAGTTCAGCATAGGGCTACACTATTAAACAGGGTCATCTTTCAACCCTCCAAGAACAGCTCTACATGAGTTTTTAAATGTGACGTATTACTTGAAGTTCTGAATAACCGGTATAGTGTAAAAATGATTACTGTGTTAAACAAGACTTTCGAAGATGGCTAGGAAGCATCTACTTTGTGAAATTCTGAACAAGAGATGAACATATATATTAGTACAGGTGAAGAATTTGCAAAACTCAATACTGTAATTATGTAGAAAGATAAAAAGTACTATATACAGTCCAAACTGTATGTTTTTCATACAGAAAATAATTATTAAAAAATCCTTAGAAATTTATCAATAATCTTTCAGATAGTGTAATAAAAACCTAACTCTAAACTGCCAAATGAAACTAAAAAATCGGAAAGTAATAGGCAGTTTCATCTTGGTGGTGGTTAGAATAATTTTACTGTAATACTATCACAGCAACAAGATTAGAACTAAATAAAAAAATCTAACTGTAAGCAAGGTGAATTAAAAAAGAAATACTTACCTACGACTGGTCGTTTTCTTTTCTGCCTTAGCTTCCTCATCTTGAGGTGGTAATTTAACAGATTCATTTGTGTCAATTTTCAACTTTTTTGCAATGCGCTCTTTCATTTGAAATCTCTCATTGCTAGTGACTTCATCTTCTACACTATCAGTATCTTCATTATGTCCTTCTTCCTCCTTTATTGATTTAAAAGGCAGAAAATGTAAAACTTTTTCTTATATTCTTTAAAAAAAGTTTTTAAAAAATTGTCTAAAAACAAATTTTTCAAACAAATATTTCC